TATTTTTTTTTTTTTTTTTTTTTTAGCATGTAGACATGACCATTGAGCTGAAAGGTACAACTATACTGTTAGGAAGGGCTACTTGAGAGAATTGCTGGACTTGAAATGATAGTGTCTTTTCTGTTGGAAATGCCTATTTCATATAACAGAAGGAAGTAGATAATGGGGCTAATTAAAATTTTAAATGGAAATTTGCTTATTAAGTATATAAACTGTTTCTTCTAAATCCAAACCAGAAGCAATATATTACTTTCAGAAATAAGAGAACAAACTTGATTTGGAATGCCAGTTATGCACCTTTTAATACCAAAATTTTTATCAGCTGTTTTTTCAAACAACTTTAAAAAATATACTCTGTATTTTAAGAATCTGTTTTAAGTATTTTTTATGGAATAACTGCTCATATGCGTAAAGATAGGAGAATAATGTAATGAACTGTTGATGTTTTCTTTTTCTTAGAAAGTGAAGTGGAAGATTCCTTAGGTACCTCTTCATCTTCTTCAGCTTCAGATAGCTCAGAGGAAAGTAAAGGAAGTTCAAGAGCTCGTGAATCCTCCTTACGTGGTAGGCTGGCCAGAAGCAGCAATCTCAGAGTGACCAGAATGAGAGCTGCTCAAAGAAAACCTGGTGAGAGACTCTCCGTGATGCTTTGGAGGAATGTATATAAAGAGAATTCAAAAGCTAAGCATTGAATGGTTTATTGATTTAATGTATCTACATATGATTAAATGTTCTTTAGGCTTTTTTTTTAACTTTTTAAAAAAAATATATACCTGTATTGATTTCAGAGAGAGAGGAAGGGAGAAGGAGAAAGAAAGATAGAAACATTAATGATGAGTCATTGATCCACTGCCTCCTGCACGCCCCCTACTGGGGGATCGAGCCTGCAACCTGGGCATGTGCCCTGACCAGGAATCGAACCTCAGTTCCTGGATCCTAGGTTGATGCTCATCCGCTGAGCCACCCCTGGCTGGGCTCTTTAGGCTTTTTTTAAAAAAAAATTGAGGTGTAATTACATATAACATTATATTAGTTTCAGTTGTTCAACATAATGATTTGATATTTGTATACAGTGTGAAATGACAAGTCTAGTTACCATCCATCACTATATATCGTTACAAAATTTTTTTTTCCATTTTTTTTTCTTGAGGGGAGGACTTTTAAGATTTACTCTCCTAGCAACTTTCTCTTTTTTAAAAAATTCATCCATTTTTTTGTTTTAGAGAGAGAAACATTGATTTGTTGCTGGTACATTACATCCCCACGATTTATTGATTTTATAACTGGAAGTTTGTACTTTTTTGACCCCCTTCACCCATTTCTTCTTCCCACCCCCCACCAGTCTGTTCTCTGTATCTATGAGCTTTGTTTTGTTTGTGTGTTTATTAGATTCCACATATAAGTGAGATCATATGGTATTTCTTTTTCTTTGTCTAACTTCACTTAGCATAATGCCCTAAGGTCCCTTTGTGTTGTTGCAAATGGCAAGAACCCGTTTTTCTTATGGCTGAATAGTATTCCATTGCATCACATCTTCTTTATCCATTCATCTGTTTTTTTCAATCATCACCTGAGGACATGCTTAGCGAGA